CAGACCTCCTAAGGAGACTACAAGCAGTGTGGGCAATGGCAACCCAAACATGGTGAGCGCCAAGCAGCTCCCCCTGTGGAGCTCTGTGCACCGGAGCTATAGTGTGGGGATTCGAAACAAGTGCTCTGAAGCTAGAATTCCCACCTGGAATCCCAGCTCTTCAACTGACTGTTGTGCGGCTTTAGTTACAAGTCTCTGTGCCCCAGTATCCTCATCTGTATAATAGGGTTGTAATAGTATTTCATAAGATAGACACTTTAATTAATAAAAATAAAATGCTTAGAACAAGGCAAGCAGTTAAATCTTAGCTCTATTCATGACGATCCCCGTTGGGCTGCCAGACTACAGTATTTTAAAATCAGAAATGTAACAATAGCTACTATGTCCTTAGTGCCTGCTATGTGCCAGGCTTTGGGCTAAGCACTTTGTGCATCACTTCATCCAACTCTCACAACCACCAAGGAAGCGGGATTTGTGTTCTTATTTTACAGAGAGTAAAATTAAAGCTCAGAAGCTAAATCACTGACCATGGTCACTCAACTAATAGGTGGCTATACCAGGAATTGAACCTAGGAATGTCTATCTCTAAAGGTATGAAAAGATATCTGGTTTTTGTGTTTCTTATTCACACCTCCTAACACTGGTCCCCCCAGATTACAAAGGAGGAAGTGGGAGTCAAGTGGCTATAGAGTCAAGTGAGGACAGAATCTAGGTTTCTGAAACCCACTCAGAACTCTTGTCTAGGATCAGCCTTAGCTGTTCCCAGAGAAGTCTAGAGTGGGAGAAATGGCTGTTTGCAATGATCCTCCCTCCCCACGCCCGTGGCCCTTCCTTAGAAGCCTGAAAACTGGGTGTTCTCTCCTAGAGTGACTGTACCAAGCTGTTCAGCCAGGGCATTGGTGGGGAGCAGGCCCAGGCCAAGTTTGACAGCTGCCTTTCTGACTTGGCCGCCGTGTCCAACAAATTCAAAGATCTCTTGCAGGTAAGCCCCAGGTTCAGCTACTGGCTGAATCCTCTGCCTGCGTGGCTTGGAGAAGATTGTTACTGGCTTACTATGGACCCTGTGTAAAAAGAAACAGAAAGAAGCCGAAACCAGTTTGGCTCAGTGGATAGAGCATTGATCTGCAGACTGAAAGGTCCCAGGTTCGATTCTGGTCAAGGGCATGTACATTGGTTGAGGGCACATCCCTGGTGGGGGGTATGCAGGAGATGGCTGGTTTCTAGCTCTCTATCCCTCTCCCTTCCTCTCTGTGAAAAGTCAGTAAAATATATTTTTTTTAATTAAAAAAAGAAACAGGAAGGAGGGGTGAGGAAATACCATGCAGCCACTGAAAGTATGTGATCCCTGAGACTAAAGACCCCATTGGTCTTTCAGCGGTGTGATTATCACTGGCCCTCAAACCCAGAATCTGCACTTGGCTCCACTGTGCCAAGAGCCCTCTGAAAGGTGCTCTAAGGATATGGAACCACATGGTTGCTTAGATCTGCTGCTTGGCCTTAGTCACAGGTGCTGCATAGTACTGAGCACTCAAATCTCTTCCTTTTTCTTTTTAATAAAAAATTTGTAATTAATTTCAGAGAGGGTGGGCAGAGAGAGAGAGAGAGAGAGAGAGAAACATCAATGAAAGAAATACCTATTGGCCTGCCAGGGATGGAGCCTGCAACTTGGGCCTGTGCCCTGACCTTAATCAAACCAGCAACCTCTTTGTGTATAGGGCAGTGCTCAACCTACTGAGCAACACCAGCCAGGGCTAGAAATCTCTTGAGAGTGTACACCACGCATGTCAAACTCGCGGTCTGCAGGCCCCATGTGGCCCACAATTAATATTTTTTCAGCCCAGCCATTATAATGTTATGTAAGAAACAGTTTAATAAGATTTTTGTAACTTAATTTTTACAATATCCTGTTTTTCATAATTATTAATACCAAATTACAACGTTCTCTAATGACTGATTATTATAATTGTGTCATTACACTTGCACGCCTTACTTGCAGGCACACCATTTCTCTCCACTAATACTAGCAGCAAATATTTTAGCAGCCGATTGCCCCATCATTAGTCTTGGACTTACTTGTTTGGTATGCGCAACAGGAAATATTTTGCTCTCGGAGAACAAGAAAAATAGGTTTATTTGCATTACGCTTATTAATTTGTGCAGTTATTTTGTATCTGATAAGTAAATGTTCAAGAAAAAAAATTTAATTTTTATTAAAATTTTCTATTAATTTATTTTAACAATTACTCATTTATTTCAGTCCTTTGTATTTAGCATGTCTCTAAGGAAATAAACCTACATTTCTATGAAAAGTGAAGCTTTTGTTTTTTTGCGGTCCATATAAACTTAAACCTTGTTTATTTGGCCCGTGTTAGCCTTAGAGTTTGACATGCTTGTTGTACACACTGGCCTCTAGGCCTTATCTCTGGCCTGGACTGAATTGGCACAGATCTGGAAAGGAACTGGTGTTCCTGGCCTCTTTTATCAGCATTATCTGTTACACTTCAAACAAGGCCTGCAGATAGTCTCAGAGCTGGAAGAATGTCCTGGCAGTGGAGGACGGAGCTGGAGAAAGGAAAGGAGTGTGTGTGTGGGAGGGAGAGGAGAGTGCCTTCTGGGTCTGATACTTGTACTTTGCAGGAAGGGCTGGCAGAGCTAAACAACACAGCAATCAAGCCACAGGTGCAGCCTTGGATCAACACCTTTCTCTCTGTTTCCCACAACATTGAGGAGGTAAGTCTGACCACAGGCAGCCATCAAGCTCAGTTACCTCTGGTTCCCCTCCCCAGCTGGAGGGCAGTGGAACTGTCTAAACAGACTAGTCTAGTCCTCACACACTTCTCAGGCCCACTTCCCTCGCCCCCATAGCCTGGGTTCCTCCCAAGAAACAGGCTGTTCCTGTAGTCAGAAGGGTTCAGAAAAACATTTAAAGGGAGTTTGCCTTGACCTGACATATGGTCTTATTGAGGTTCTTTTTTCTTTTCTTTTTTTTACCTAAGGATTTTATTCCTAAAGAACAGGGAATCTTCTTTCTGCCAAGAGCCGTATTTATAACTTCATTCGTGGGCCATACAAAATTATCAACTTAAAAATTAGCCTGCTATATTTGGCCAAGCATTTAATTAACTCACCCCTAATGCCTTAGCAAGACCAGATTAAATGATTTCTTAGGCCTTATAGGATCCACAGGCCAGACATTCCCCACCCCACCCCTGCTACAGAACATGAAGCAGCAGTCACTGCCAGTTGCGATGTCCAAGCTGGTTTTAAGGCGGAGCCAGAAGCTACCAGGGAAGGAGAACCTCTTCTGTTAGAAGGTGGAAGTGGGTGGGGCAAATGGTTCTTGAAAATGCCCCCAGTGACCCGTCTTGCTTCCTAACAACAGGAAGAATTCAATGACTATGAGGCCAACGACCCTTGGGTGCAACAGTTTATCCTTAACCTGGAGCAGCAAATGGCTGAGTTTAAGGTGAGCAGGGGCTCTAGCAACCAGCTTATGGAATTACCCACATCTGCCCAAATCAGCAGCCTGCGGGGAACCCTGAAAGCCCTCCCTCGCCCCAGCCTGTAGAGACACTCCTTGGTGGCCTACCGCCCCAAAACTCTGCTGTGTAGGCAGAGGGATGGGTGGGCTCCCGCTGATGTCTGGCCTCTGTGTGTAGGCCAGCCTGTCTCCAGTCATCTATGACAATCTGACCAGCCTCCTGACCAGCTTTGTTGCAATTGAATTGGAGAGAGTGGTGCTGAAATCCACCTTCAACCGGGTAAGGTCAAGGGAGGACAGGCCCCCAGCTCTGTTTCTCCTTTGAGGAAGGTGGGGCCTGACATTTGCATCCTTGAACAGTGACTGGGCTTCTGTTCCCCTGCAGCTGGGTGGTCTGCAGTTTGACAAGGAGCTGAGGTCACTCATTGCCTACCTTACCACGGTGACCACCTGGACCATCCGAGACAAGTTTGCCCGGCTCTCCCAGATGGCCACAATCCTCAATCTGGAGCGGGTATGTGGGGCCCCTCAGCCTAACCGGGGAAAGGTGTCTGGGAAGAGAGCATAGACCACATTTGGATGCCAGCCACTCCACCACCATGCCAGCATCCCAGCCCTGCCAGGAACTCTCTTCCTGGGCTCTACCGTTCTGAACCTGGTGCAGCCACGGCCTTCCCTCAGGATCGCCCCCTCCTGGCTGACTTGGCTCTGCTCTTCCCACAGGTGACTGAGATCCTCGATTACTGGGGCGCCAACTCTGGCCCGCTGACATGGCGCCTCACGCCTGCCGAAGTGCGTCAGGTGCTGGCTCTGCGCATAGACTTCCGCAACGAGGACATCAAGAGGCTGCGCCTATAGCCGCAGGGGGAGCCCACCTGCCCATCACACGAAGTGGCCACAGCCAAGGAGCTGAGCAAGGCTGTCGGCATGAGGAGAGCTCCGACCGCCCAGACTGTTCCACCATTGGCAGCAGGGAAAAAAGGCACTGACCCACTCCGCTCTGCACTCCGACCGAGCGGGTGGTGCTTTGGGAGTAGCCTCTCCCCACCAAGGGGTGGGTCTCCCTGGGCTGCTAATTGGTGGGCAGGTCAGCGCAGGCCAGCCTTCTCCACAGTGGTCATGCTCTCCCCCGGACACTGCAGCAGACAGACTGCCGGCCCTAAAGGATTTAGGTGCATCCGGGGACCTAGAGGATTAGATTTACTCCGCGAAGAGGATGTGATGATACGTCCACTCTGATTAAAGAGACCCCTCGGAGAAATGCCAGTGTGCTGTTTTCAGGGAGGGCTGGGTGCTATAGGGTGCTAAAGACAGGTGTGCCAGTTGCACTGAAACGTGAACGCAAAAGCCTCAAGCCTCAGCCTCCCACACCCAGAGCGGCACACAGCTCCTGCCAGGACCCCCCTGACCCTGGACCCTCAGCACCAGCAGCTGGATCGTCCCCAGGGCAGTTTCCCACGGTGCCAGGGGAGGTGGGAATTCCTCCTGGCAGGAACAAAGGAGCTCTATGAGGACAACCTCAGGGCAGATTCGGTTTATTCGGAGGTCACAGTCCTGAAAACCTGCTGCCCATAGGCTCCGGGCCCCGTGGCACACACAGTCCATGGTCCAGGGTAAGGCCGAGTTGGCAGTGATGGCTGAAGACCACACTGGCTCACTCCCACTCCCCCGTCACGTCAGCCTGGGAGTGAGTACTGACCATGAAGTCTATTCAGGCAAGAGCCCGGCTTAAGGAAGGCCACAGGAAATGCCTCAAAGGGCTCTCCAGGGTCAGCCTTACCAAGGGACCCGGCTTCTGTGAGGACTGGTGGTCACCCCCGTCCAGGGCCCCAGCTGGGCCACAGGATTGGTAAAGGCCACAAAGGACACTGAGCTCAGGACCTTCCTATGTCCAGATGGAGCAGAGGCCAAGCCTAGGCCACAGTTCATCACGAGGTCACAGTCCTGTTCCCAAGCACGGTGTCTCTCTCACCAGGGGGCTGGGCCCAAACTCCAGTCGGCTTCCTTTGCGAGCAGATCCATAGAGGTAGGTGGGGAGTCGGAGGCTGAGTGCTCGGAAGGGAGGGGCTGCTGTAGCTCCAGGTTTTCTCCTCTTGCTGAGGGACAGGCCTCATGGGAAGGGGCATCAGGTCGAGTTCTCACTCCCCAACAGCTGCAGGCTCAGGCCCTGCGTGTCCACTTCCACCAGGTGGACGCTGTAGTTCCCGAGGCCCTGCCAGCAAACGACAAGAGGTGGGTAGAGGGCTCTGTGCAAACCTGTGGCCTCCTGGAGGCCGACCTGAGGCCGCAAGCCAGGGGGACACGGAGAGGGCTCCTGCCCCCCACCCATCACCAAACCCAACGCCACCAGGCACCTCAGTCTCGGCCAGCACGGCCTCCAGAGCCTCCTTCTGCTTCGGCTCCTTGGTCAGCAGATAGAGAAAGCCGCCGCCGCCTGCCCCTGCCAGGCTCTGGCCATGCACGTGGGGGGCCAGGACATTCATCATCCGCCGCACAGCCTGGGGCTCACAGCCGGGAGCCATGAGCTTCTTCTGCTCCCAGTACAAGGTCAGGCACTGGCCCAGCAGAGGCAGGCTTCCTGGGGTGGGGGGCAGAGAAGGGAAAGGCGTGCCTGAGCCAGGACATCCTGTCAATGCCCACTTACCGACGCTAACGTGCCCAGAGGTGCTGCTCAACCAGGGGCTGGAAACACGAGTGGCAAAGACCACCTCAAAGGGTTGTCTGAGGACATAAAACCGACATGCGCCCAGCCGTGTTCGGTGAACGATACAGCCACTCCCTTGAACCCTGCTTAGCTCTGTCTCCCTGGCACTCGGTTAAAGGGCCCAGCCTCTTCCCCCACCTGCTTCTTGGCAGATAGGACTGGAAACCCTCCCCGTGATGCAAGTATTGTCCCGAGATACGGCTCCCACGGAAGCAAGACCCTGGGGAGGACAGATGGTAGGCTTCTGTCCCCGGGGGCCTACCACCTACCAGCCCGAAAAGGCCCCTGGCCTTAGACCCAGGGGCGACCAGACCCTCCCTCCCGGTGCCCTGCCCCTGGGAAGAGGCACCTCACCCCGGCGGAAGGCTTTCACGCACTCCTCCGTGTGCCGCACGAGGCTGTGGGCGTTCTGTACAACGGCAGGCAGCCGGGCATACCAGCTCCTCAGCACATCCTGCAGGTGGGGCAGGAGGGTGGGGGCAGGAGGGTGCGATGGAAGGCTGGGCCCTGCAGAGCATCTGCCTCCCTCCCCCCTCCTGGGCTGGGAGCTCACCTGCAGCAGGTTCCGCGCCAGGCGGGTCTTGCCGGTGTACACCAGGAGCAGGTGGTCATTGAGCGTCTGGACGAAGCCCTCAGGCACAGCGATCTCCTCCACCTCCACCTTCAGCGGCAGCTGAGCCCGCGAGCGCCCCACCTTGATGCCAGGCATCAGACCACCCACTTGGTCCTGCCAGCCGCCTCCTGTGAACCCAGAGACCGTCCCTGTTAGAGCCCGTCCGGCCCACCTTCTCTCTCCCAGCCCAGGCTCTGGCAGGAGCCAGCTCCAGCTGCACCGAGTGAGCTGTCCAGCATCTGTCACCAGCCTCGGGAGCAGGCTGAGCCCAGCAAGAGAGAGGGGATTTCACTCCAGAACCCAGAGTGGCTATTGATTAATGTCTGTCCCCAATAGACCATTTAATTTTTTAGAACAAGGGCCCTGTATTTGTTCATCTTATCCCCCAGGGTCCGACCCTGAGTTGGATACTCAATAGTTGTCAACTGACCACATAAAGGGTTTTCCTCAGAAGGAAACTGGAGAGGCCTCCTATTTGCCCCTCTTGCTAATAACTACCTGTTACGGGATGAGAGACATTACAGCAGAAGGAGGGGGCGGGCTGCAAAGGCAGCAGGAAAGTGGCGTAATCGGCATCTCTACATCTTTGTGACCGTTTCCTGCCCAGAATCACGGTGGGGATGAAGCCCGGCATGCTGGGTGACCACAGCACCCTCGGATCATGCCGACAAACCTCTAGGTGGCCAAAACCGGTTTGACTCAGTAGATAGAGCATCGGCCTGCGGACTGAAAGGTCCCAGGTTCGATTCCAGTTAAGGGCATGTACCTTGGTTTTGGGCACATCCCCAGTGGGGGGTGTGCAAGAGGCAGCTGATCGATGTTGCTCTCTCATCGATGTTTCTAACTCTCTATCCCTCTCTCTCTCTGTACAAAATCAATAAAAATATATTTTAAAAAAAAACAAACAACAACAACATCTCTAGGTGCTCCCCATTGGACATGGACTCCAAGGGGCCATGGTGGCGAGAAGGGGGAGAAGACTGTGATCACCGCCATGTTCTGGGCCCTCAGTGCCCCCCAAGTGGCTGGCAGGGAGGGGAGGTGGGCACAGATGACCATAGCCCAGGGGAGGGGCAGGGTGGTTGGGAAGGCGGGCTGAAGGTCCTACCCCTTGCTACAAACCCATTCTCCCCAGCTCCGCCCTCAGGGACAGTCCTGGGTGGCCACAACGTCGTGAGGGATAAACAAGTGCCTAACACACATGAAGGGAGAGCACAGGCTCTCTAGGTGCTCCTAACACATGCGCTCCTTTGAAGGTGAGAGACCTCCAGTTGACCATCACTGGAGGTCAGAGCGATAAGGGAGGAGCCGCAGTCTGTGGCTGCCGGCCACAAGCCCAGGGCAGCCCCGGAGGCTTGGCAGAGTGCCAGTGGCCTCCCTCCCTCCCGGCAGGGGCAGCCCCGTACCTGTGGTGAGCACCTGCTCCAGGTGCAGCACTGCGTGGATCAGGGCCTCCCTGCTCACCTCCCGGCCCGCGGCCCGCTGCAGGGCGGCCAGGGCGGTGCCCGCCAGGATGCTGCTGGTGCCTGCAGGGCAGGGGAGAGGCCAGGCGGGCATGAAACACCTCTGCTGCAGCCCAGACAGGCCCCGCCCCCTCAAGTCTGTTGGGCAGGGGTGGTGAGGAGGAAGGAAGGAGAGTGGATGGCAGCAGGACAGCAGGGCTCACTCACCGAGGCCAGAGCCGTGGGGCAGCTCAGACCAGGTGTGCAGCTCGAAGCCGCCCCCGAAGGCGCGCAGCAGCTGCTCGCTCAGCGAGAGCTTGGACCTGACGTGCACGATCCCCGCACAGATGAAGGCCGCCTTCAGCAGGGCCCCTGCGGAGGGAGCAGCACCCGGCAGGGCACTGGGTCTCCAAAGGCAGACGCAGACAGACCACCCACCGCCACTATTTCCCATCTCGGGGCTCATCGAGGGCAGTGTTTCCCAAACTTCTGACATACGGGTACCCCTTCTATAATTTTCGTAACGCTGAGTGCCCCCCGTACTCACGAGAACGTAGAATTAGGCGCAGCTAAGCACGCCGCAGTGCATATCCCCACCCAACTCCGGTGCAACGCGTACCCCCCACCAAACTCTTCCCGTACGTACCCCTGGGGGTACGCGTACCACACTTTGGGAAACACTGCTCTAGGGGACAAAAGCCCAGCAGCAGTGCAAGTCCCATCCCCAAGCCCCCAAAAGACCCCTGGGCTCCCCAACATGGGCAAATGTGCCAGCTGTACCTCCTGCAGCCGCACGCACCTGGGCAAGGAGACCTCGGGGCGCCTCAAGCTGAATGGCTTAGCCCTCAAGCCAGGCCCCCGTGGCCAGGGGGGTCTCCGGGGTTCTGCCCTACCCCCCCCCCCCCCCCCGCGCCTAGCTGCGTGTGCCGCTCCCGCCGGCAGGTGTGCTGGCGCCTGACCTGGAGCGTGGGGCTGGCAGTAGTCCTTCAGGTCCTCCAGGCTCCGGCACACTATCTTCACGGCCATCTCGTCCCGCCGAGGCCCCACCGCCAGCCACAGCTCGGGCTCCCAGATGCGGCGGGCCCTGGCCCCGATGGGCCGGCGGCCGTCCACTCGCACAGCCAGGCCCAGCACCGCGCCCCCCAGCTCGTAGGCGAGGGGCGGCGTGTCGCTCCAGCCTCCTGTTATGGGATGGAGCAGGACCCCCACGCTGGTCAGGGGGCCGCCTGCCCAGCTCCGGGGCGGCTACCCGCACCCCCCAACTCCGAGGGGGCTCACCGGAGAAATCCACGCGAGCCGGGCACTCGGCCACCACCCACTGCCCGGGGGCCGGCAGCCCCACAGGCTCCATGGAGACAAAGCGCTGGGCAGACATCACGGCCTGGCGGATCAGGATCTGCCCGGCCCCCTCGTAGTGGCGAGCAGCTCGCACTAACAGGACGGGCCTGCCAAGGGGGAGGGGAGAGAGGGCGGCATGGAGCCCCAAACCCAAGCAGGGGGTGGGCCCACAGAAGTCAGGGCCCACCTCTCTCTATAAGAATGATCAGGGCCACCGAAACCGGTTTGGCTCAGCGGTAGAGCGTCGGTCTGCGGACTGAAGGGTCCCAGGTTCGATTCCGGTCAAGGGCATGTACCTTGGTTGCCGGCACATCCCTGGTAGGGGGTGTGTAGGAGGCAGCTGGTCGATGTTTCTCTCTCATCGATGTTTCTAGCTCTCTATCCCTCTCCCTTCCTCTCTGTAAAAAATCAATAAAATATATATATATATATTTTTTTAAATGATCAGGGGCTTCTCCAGGGTTCTGACGTCATCGGCACCCACCTGCTCAGCCACTTGTCCCGCTCCTGGGCGAGGGCCTTCACGCCCCCAGCCAGGTCTCCGCACTCCAAGAACGAGAAGGGCCGGACCCACTCGGGATTGGCAGCCGGCCCGCTCCGTAAGCCGCCTTGGCCTTCTGCCATGCAGCCCAGGACGTCTGCCACGCAGGCCAGCACCCGGGCCGCCACGCCTGGGTCTCCTGCACCCGCTGCCACTGAGGGGCCAGAAGCCGATGGTTAGGGAGGGGACCCACCCGCAATGCCCTCTTCCCCGAGAGACTGTCCAACGGCCCCCAGACATGCCTGGTCCCTCACACCTCTTCTCTTTGCCCAAGATGTACCCTCACCTGTGAATGCACACCCACGCCTCTGCTTGGCACAAAGTTCTCATCCTGCCGACCCCAGCCCAGCCCAGCCCAGCCCAGCTGTGCCTCTTTACCCCCCACCCCCCCAGGTGGCCCAGAGTGGTTAAGAACTCAGATTCAGTACCAAAACCGGTTTGGCTCAATGGATAGAGCATCAGCCTGTGGACTGAAGGGTCCCGGGTTCGATTCTGGTCAGGGGCATGTACTTTGGTTGTGGGCACATCCCCAGTGAGGGGTGTGCAGGAGGCGGCTGATCGATGTTTCTCTCTCATCGATGTTTCTAATTCTCTATCTCTCTCCCTTCCTCTCTGTAAAAAATCAATAAAATATATTTAAAAAAAGAACTCAGACTTGGGGTCAAACTGTCCGTGTTCGGTCTCAGTGCCACCCCACCCGCTGTAAGTGGTTAACTTCAATAGGGGTCACTTTCCACCATCACTGGGATCATAAATGAGGTGCTGCCTGCCTGGGAGAGCCTGCCACCTCCCCTGGGCTCTGGCACCTCCGTTTTGGCGCCCAGTACAAAACACGGAGGGTTTGCTGATGCTCGTTGGGCCCAGAGGCTCTGGCCCAGGCCTCAGCCTCTCGTCCAACCCCCTACTGACAAGAACGAAGCTCCCAGGAATCTGGAAGCAAACTCCACTGTGTCTCTCCCCGACTTTGAAGTCTCCCACCTCCTGTCGTCATCCACCCAGAGGGCAGCTAGGGCAGGGGACGCCAGCTCTGGCTTCCCCGCACAGAAACCCAGCCACTCACCCTGGTCCAGCGTGGCCAGCAGGAGCCCGGGGCGGCCCTCGCGGACGGCGGCCCGGATCAGCGGGCGCAGGCTGAGGTCCTGCCTGGCCTCCAGCACCCTGCGCGCCTTGTGCAGGGCCTGGCGGAAGAACAGGTCCCGGCGGGAGGCCAGGGTGGCGCCCCGGTCCAGGCAGGGCTGCAGCTGCTCCCAGGACAGGCGCCAGGAGGCCCGCCAGGCCCACAGGGCCTCGCCCCCGTCCTCCTGGGGGTCCAGCATCCACAGCATGTCCCTGGGCCCCAGGGCCCTCGAGGGGTGGAGCACAGGAAAGAGGCGGGCGGTGAGGAGGCAGCGCTCCGTGGGGGGCGTGTCCGGGTTCCACAGGTCCCAGTTTCTGATGGGGGTGGGGGTGGGGGGGGAGAAGGCACGTGAGCAGGAGGGAAGCCTGGGCTCCTGCTTCCTCCCGGAGGCCTGACTGCCTGTCCACTGGGGGAGGGGCTGGCTAATTCACAGGGAGTAGGGGGGACAGGACAAATTCTTCTAGGGCAGTGTTTCCCAAACTTCTGACATATGTGTGCCCCTTCTATAGTTCTCGTAACGCTGAGTACCCCTCATACTCATGAGAACGTAGAATTAGGCGCAGCTGAGCACGCCGCAGTGCATATCCCCACCAAACGCCGGTGCAACGCGTACCCCCACCAAACTCTTCCCGTACGTACCCCTGGGGGTACGCGTACTACACTTTGGGAAACACTGAGCTAGGTGGTGGCACAAGCAGGCAACTTGGGGCAGGAGACAAACTGTCCTGCCCCCTTTCCCAGGCCTCTGAACAAAATCCCAAAAAGCCTGAGCACAGGCAGGACTTAGAAACTGTCCAGGGGGAAAGTGCTGGGGAGGGTCAGGCTGCCCCAAACCACCCCAGGCCCCGGGGCTGGTGGGAGGAAGGGCAGGTGGTGCTCTGGGGCTGAGGCAGAGATGAGCCGGGAAGAAGCGGCCGCCCTGGAGTCCCTCTTACCGGATGCCTGTCTTCTGGAAGAACTCATCCCAGGGCATGTTGAGGTATGTTCCCGTCCCCTGTCTCTGGGGGAAGCGGAGGAAGCAGTCAGGTCTTCGGGAACCACAGGAAGGGGAGGGGTCGGGGACACGAAGACCAGAGGGGACAGGAGGAGAGAGACTTGCACATAGGAAAGCAGCTTCTGAAACAACCGCTGTGTCAAGCCCTGGAGCTCAGCGATCCTGCCCAGGTGCCCGGGAACCTGGCACAGAATCCCGGTTCCAGGCCCAGTCCACTCTCATTGGCTCTGCAGCCCGGGGCAGGCCACCTCCCTCTCTGATCCTCAGGCTCCAGCCTGGCAGAGCCGCTGAGGAGGGAGAGGAAGGCATGGCGAGACTCGACCGGCTACAGCCTATCCCTCGGGCAGCGAGCCCTGCAGCAGAGTGGGACCTAGGCTGGGGTCCCGGGCCCCCCCCCCCAAAGCCTAAAGATGGGGGTGAGGGGATGGACGCAGGGCGGGCACCTACTTCCCAGCTGTCCAGGCGTCCAACCAGGGTGAAGGCACGCACAGGGGCTCCGTGCAGCCGCACGTGGTGCCCCCTCAGGACGAGGTCGCGCAGCTCCAAGCCCTGCAGCGCCTCGGACTGGGCCGCGTCCAGGCCGCTCACAAAGCAACCGGTGCCGACGTGAATGGGGCCCTGGCGAGGGAGAGGGCAGGCATCCTGAGGGAATGGTGCCGCTCCAGGCACCCCTCACACACACACACACACACACACACACACACACACACCCAGGGCCTGGCCCCCACCGCCTTGCCCGCCCTCTGCCCCTGCTCTCGGGCCTCACCTGCAGGTGGCAGTGCTGCAGGACACTCCCGGCACCCAGCCGGACGGCGCCCTCCAGCAGGCAGTTGACCACAGAGCTCCCAGCCCCCAGCAGCTGCGGCTCCTGAGCAGCCCGGGAGAGAGAAGGTCCTGAGCACCCTCTACAGTACACCCTGCCCTGGCTCCAGCTTCCGGCTGACTCCCATCCCGCCCGTTCACGCTGCTCCCAGCGGCGAGCTCTCCTGCACGGCCCCCTCAGAGAAGTCCGAACTCAGACATGGAGGTCCCACCCGATGGCAGCTTCCCCAGGAAACCTCTCCCACCGGTCCAGGAACCCCCGCCACGCGGAGGGCAACCTCGGAAACCTACCCGTCCGCCTTCCTCAGCACCAGGGCCCGGACCCAGGCCCATCCCCTCCTCACATGTGCTTGTCTCCCCCAAACGGTCCCCAAAGAAAGGGGTGGGGTCTTCTCTGGCTTCTCCCCCAGGCAGACCTGGATGGAGACTCCTAACGTGACCCCTTCCTGGCTCTGTGGCCTCAGGCAAGTCACTGAACCTGTCTGAGCCTCTGGCCTGGCGCCCAACGGGGATAAGGACGCCTGTTGTGTTCCTGGGTGATCTGCTCCATGCATGGGCTATTCCTTCCCTTTCTAGGAGCCCCTATCCCACCGTTCCTCAGGCAGCTCTGCTGGTCTCACCTCCACCTGGGAGTGCACCACCTGAGCCCCGGGGGCCCCAGGAAGCGTGAGGCTGAGCAGGAACTCGCTGGCCGAGGAGGTCATGTAGCTGTAGCTGCCGTCGGGGATATACGCTGAAAAGACACAAGCAGTGACCCCACCCCTCTGCCCGCTGCTGCTGCCCCGAGCCCAGCCAGGCCTCTCCAGCCAGAAGACACATCTTCATCAGGCCCTGGAGGGCAGGCCTGGCAATGAGCCCATCGTGCTGATGGGGAAGCTGAAATCCAGAGAGGCTCGGTAACCTGCCCTGAGTCACACAGCTAGGACATGGAGAGACTGGGACTGGAGCCCAGGAATAAAGACAAAAGGAAGAGCCGGCCGACACCGGTTTGGCTCAGTGGATAGAGCGTCGGCCTGCCGACCGAAAGGTCCCAGCTTCGATTCCGGTCAAGGGTATGTACCTTGGTTGCGGGCACATCCCCAGAAGGGGGTGTGCAGGAGGCAGCTGATTGATGATTCTCTCTCATCGATGTTTCTAACTCTCCATCCCTCTCTCTTCCTCTCTGTGAAAAATCAATAAAATATATATATTTTTAAAAAAAGACAAAAGGAAGAGCCGGCCGAAACCGGTTTGGCTCAGTGGATAGAGCGTCGGCCTGCCGACCGAAAGGTCCCAGGTTCGATTCCGGTCAAGGGCATGTACCTTGGTTGCGGGCACATCCCCAGAAGGGGGTGTGCAAGAGGCAGCTGATCGATGATTCTCTCTCATCGATGTTTCTAACTCTCTCTCCCTCTCCGTTCCTCTCTGTAAAAACTCAATAAAATGTTATTTTTTTAATTAAAAAAAAAAGACAAAAGAAGAGAGTTATGGGGGGTTGGGGAGAGTCGGGGGTGTCAGGCCTCTGGGTTGGGAGAGGACACTGGGCTGACACAGGCACGAGACCTGCCCGGCCCAGGAGCCCAGGGACCAGGCGGGAGGCAGCCTTGCAGCGCTGGGTAGGGCAGGGCGTCCTCACCCTGTGGCCACCCTGCCCAGGCAGCCGAGAGGCAGCACCCACCCACGGTGAGGGGCTGGTCACGGAGCTCCCGCCAAAGCGTGGTCCGAGCGACCCGGAGGTAGCCCTCGGCGTCCGCGTCGCTGCGCCCCGTCTCCGGAGGCCGCCCCGCCAGGAAGGCCTCTCTGCCCACGTTCCGGGCCATGCACAGCAGGATGTCGAAAAACAGAGACAGCTGGGACGAGGATAGGAAGCACAGCTATTGGGGGGAGGGGGGGCAGTCCCATCCCCAGAGGCACGGGCCCCGAGAGGGGAAGGGGCCGCCTTGAGGTCACAGAGCCAGTGTCAGGGTCTTTCCCGCAGGCCAGGGCCCCCGCCCCCACCCTCCGTCACCTGGACAGGCCGGGCTCCGGAGTCCAAGCCCATGTAGGTGCAGGCGTCCAGGGGTGGGCTCACGTGAGTGGCCAGGAGGTGCTCGGCGGTCTCCACGGAGAAAAAGGCAACTCCGGAGACCTGGAGGAGCCCCCAGGAGGGTCAGGCGGCGGGGCCCTGGGGTCAGGCGTGGGCCTGAGTTGCGGGAGACACATAAAGATGGACCCGAAGGCTGGCTGCTACGCCAGGCGGAGTCCTTCACCCTCGGGACCACTCCTGCACCCGGATCCCAGGCCTCCTGGAGGGGGGTCCCCTGAACAGGGACCCCTCTCAGTTCTCAGGCCTCCCCCCACAAAAAACCTGGTCCTGCCGAAACCGGTTTGGCTCAATGGATAGAGCGTCGGCCTGCGGACTGAAGGGTCCCGGGTTCGATTCCGGTCAAGGCATATGCCTTGGGATGCGGGCACATCCCCAGTGGGGGTTATGAAAGAGGCAGCTGATCGATGATTTTCTCTCATCGATGTCTCTAGCTCTCTGTCCCTCTTTCTTTCTCTCTGTAAAAAATCAATAAAATATATATATATATTTTTTAAAAAAACCTAGTCCTCGATCACCCCCTGGTCTGGTCCCAGACCCTCGCCCACCACGCGGATCCCTGTCCTTCATTCTGGAAGGAGCCCCCACGTCGGCCTCCAGACTTCCTCCCAATGCATTCCTGAACGCCCTCTCCCCTTTCCCGTCCAGGACAAGACCCTTTCCTCAGACTCTCGCTCCACCTGCTCCTCCACCTCACATTCTGGCTCTGTCCTGCCCTGGAGTCTTCCAGGAGGAGTAGAGCGCTTCCCCCGAGCAGGAAGGCAAACCCTCCCTCTTCCATGGGGGCCCTCAGAGCCCCCCAACCCGGGCACAGCCCTACCAGCGGCACCCGCCCATCGGGCCTGGCGCACCGCTGCAGGTCCGCCTCGCTGGCCTGGTAGTGAATGTCTAAGACGAAGCCCTGTGTCGGGGGAGAGAGCAGAGTTAGGGAAGGGGGCCAAGGACCGTCAGGATCAGGGACACAGCGAGGGCGTTCTCCGGGGAAAACCAGGCGCATGTCTGAAGGTCCCAGCGTGCTGCGGGGAGCACTGTCCCACCCGACAGTGCTCTGCATGTCTTCCCGGCCCCGCCCAGCACGGAGCCTGGCCCGGGGGCCATGTGCAAGGCCCGTCTGGTGACAGACTCAGTGAGCCTGAGGGCTGCTGCCATAGAGGAAACGTCTCCGGATCCAGACTGTACCAGCAAGAGCACAGGGCCAGGAGGCCAGCCCAGCCCGGCTCGCCGGCCAGTGCCACGGCCCCAGGGGCACTACCTGGGCGTCGGTGAGGTAGACGCCGTGGTTCTGGGCGTAGGCTGTGGTTCCTGGGAAGGCGATCACTCTGGCTCCCCGGAAGCCGTCCCAGGTGATCCCTGTGAGCAGAGAAGTCAGGGGCCTCCCTGGGGCCCCCAACCCACCTAAGGCAGGGAGGCCCCCAACCAGGTAAAGATAAGAGCTCGGGGCGGGGGGGGGGGGGCATCCGGGCACCTCGACAAGGAAAAGATGGCTCCCAAGCCACATGGACATTCCTCTGGGAGAATGACGACGCCTCCCCTCCCCTCCCAAAGTTCTACCCCAGCCCGGGAGGGCCGAGGGGCAGGGCTGGTGACTCCATAGCCGCCCCTCCGGACGGGGCAGTGGGCCAGGCCCAGGAATGGTGAGCTAGGACAGGCCCAGCCCCACTCTGGCCGCGCCGGGAGGAGGTCCCGCGCCGCCTCGGGGGGCTCACCTGGGTTGGGAGGCACGGACAGCAGCATGTCGGTGCTGGAGACCCACACGCCGGGCGGGGAGCCCGGGCCCAGCTGCGGGGGAGAGCACAGATGCCAACGGTGGCCTGGCCCAGCCCTTCCTCTGCTCCCCACGCAGCCCAGCGTCCATCCAGCCTGTCCCCCTGCTCCAGGGAGACTCTGAGGCAGGGGTCCTCAAGCTTTTTAAAGTGGGGGCCAGATCACGGTCCCTCAGAGAGCTGGAGGGCCGGACTATATGAACAACTAATTCCTACTGTAACACCTCGGCTGCGCTTACTGCCCAAAAAACCTGGCGGGCCGGATCAGACTCCTCTGCGGGCCGCATGTGGCCCGCGGGCCGCAGTTTGAAGACGCCTGCAGTCTGAGGTCACAGGGGCCTTCCCAGACCCTCCTGCCCAGCTCCGGGGACCACGCCTCCCTGCAGGTTTGCCAACACGAATTGCCTAAAGCTCTAGCTCCAGGCTCCGCCAAAGCCATTCTTGCCGGCATCTCCGTCGGAGCCAGGATGGGGCTATCTATCGCGGGTGGTGCAATGGGAGGGGAACCAGGCCCTAAGGCGCCCGCTGGCCTCACCCGATGGGTCATGATGTCCAGCAAGCGGTCCAGGTTGCAGACCAGAGCCTCCACAGGGGCCTGGGGGTTCTCCACGGGGAGGCAGGTGAAGGCACGGCCACAGTCATCGAAGGGGAAGTCCCGGCCCTGCGGGGGAAGCGGGGACAGGGGAAGGACCCCTTGGGGCAGAGAGCCTGGGGACACCCCGGGAGCTGTGCAGAGGCGTAAAGTCATCCAGCCAGAGGGTTTTCCCGTGCAGTTCTCCCAAGTCCATGGTTACAGTAAAGAGCTAGAAAATTCAGATAGGCAAAAAGAAAATCTCCCAGGAGTAATAACTATTCCTCTCATTGTGAGGTATATCCTTTCAGACTTATATGCATATATTCTTTAATTTTTTATTTTATTTTTTTAATATATTTTATTGATTTTTAAAATATATATAGATTTTATTGATTTTTTTTACAGAGAGGAAGGGAGAGGGATAGAGAGTTAGAAACATCAATGAGAGAGAAACATCGATCAGCCGCCTCCTGCATACCCCCCACGAGGGATGTGTCCACAACCAAGGTACATGCCCTTGACCGGAATTGAACCTGGGACCTTTCAGTCCACAGGCCAATGCTCTATCCACTGAGCCAAACTGGTTTCGAATTTTATTTTATTTTTTACAAAAATGAGATTCTCAAAAGGTAGAAACAACAGAACTTACACACACACACACACTCACAGGTAAAACTGGGGAAATATCATTGGGAACTATATAAAGGCAGGTCCCACTTTAAGCATTTAACGGATCATCTCAGCACATCCACACAAAGCAGGAACCATCGCCATCCTGATTTTACAGATGGGGAAACTGAGGCCTGGAAAGGGTCAAGTGCCTTGCCCAGGGTCACAGAGCTGGGAAGTCTCTTTCAAGGCGCAGAATTAGATGGACTTATTAATCCCTTTCTACTATCCCACCAGGATGGTATGCTATTTATATTTAGCCAGCTCCCTATTTTTTTATTTTTATTTTTTTTAATACGTGGATCCATTCTGACTCCAATTCTTCTGGATTTGCACACACACACACAAAAAAAAAACACCTTGCAAACGCACCCCTACCCAACCCTGGGGATCAAAGGTCCCAGCCTTCTGCATGGCACCCCGCCCAGCATCGTACTAACCATGTGCAGGATGAGGATCCGGGCCGACTGCAGCACATCCGCGGTGACCACCTGTCAGGAGTGGAGGAGCCCTGTAGACGGAGGCCCGGGCGGACGGCACCGAGGGCGGCCCCCTCTCGCCTGGGGAGAGGCCCCGACACAAAGCCACGGAGGGACGACGAGAGCACTCACGCTGAAGCCCGCCCGGGCGCTCAGGTGCTCGGCAGCCACCAGCAGGGCGTTGAGGGTGGCTCCGCCGCTGCCCACGCGCGTCTCAGGGTCCTCCACGGCCAGCAGCAAAGTCCCGGCGGGGATCTGCTCTCGTTTCTGCCGCACCTCCAGCTCTGTGGTCAGAACACACAGCTGGGACCTGCTCCCCCGCCTCCCAGCCCTGCTCCCAGGCAGCTGACGCAAACCTACTGATGATTTATTATTTCATCTTTGACTCGGTAGCGTTTCATGTAGCCGTAGCTCATTAGCTCTTCGCCCAACCCGCTGAGGTAGGTACAATTATTCCCATTGGACAGATGAGAGAACCGAGTCTCAATGAAGTGACACGATAGGCCAAAGGTCACACGGCTAGGAAGAGGCAGACTCTAGGTTTGAGCTACAGGAGGTACAGGGGTTACGGGGAGGGGTTCCGACATTAGGGCAGAGTGGGGAGGGAGGGCGCCCTACCTTTCTGGAAGACCTCAACACTATCCTTGTACTGGTACGTCAGGATGATAACCGTCCAATCGACCCCCTGGGGCTGCTCCATTCTAGCCAAAGTTGAGGGGCTTCCTGAGGCAGAAATAGAGATGTACGTGAATTATTTTGTTATCATAGCCTAAAATTGATTTTTGTGTTGCTTTTTAAAAAAATTTTTAAGTTATCGCAGGTCTCGATATGCTAAATCTTGTACCAAAAAATAAGAAGCTTATCCAGATTTTGATGAATAGGATCTGGGCACACCTGAAACTCCTTTTGACCCTAAACTCTCCTTTGGAAGCCAATAAAAAAAAAATAATAATAAATATAATAAATAAATAAATAAAACAAAACAAGGGAATTATAAAACCTGATGAACAATATTAACTGTTAACTATAATAGAATCAGAGGTATGGAAGGGGAGTGGACTGATGATTCTCAGGCAAAAGAGGAGTGGAGGGTGAGGGAAGAGACTGAACATAAACTGTGCACCTATGGATGAGGACAATGGGGGTTGGGGAAAGGGCAGAGGGTGGGGTAGGAACCTGGTGGAGGGGAAAAATGAGGAACTTTTGTAATAATATGAACAATAAAGGTTTATTTAAAAAATTATGTTATGTTAGAGACAAGGCTTAATAACTTTTCTTTTTTAACTAAAACACACACACACACACACACACACACACCACACTTAGAGGTAAAGAACGTTTAAGTTCCTTATCTGTTTTCTTTTGCTTTGGAGACGACAAGGTTTCTAGAAATGCTAAGTTTTAATTTTTTTTTTTTCCTCCCCCTGGAAACCTGTCACCAAGGGGATTTTTGTGTTGTTTTATGAATGTTAACACTCGCCTAGATTCTTGTGGTCACCACGACTACAGTCACACTTGACAATCCCCCATCAGTTCTCTACAGCTAGAGTTAGAATGAAATCTTTTTTTTAAAATATATTTTATTGATTTTTTACAGAGAGGAAGAGAGAGGGACAGAGAGCTAGAAACATCGATGAGAGAATCATCGACCAGCTGCCTCTTGCACACCCCCCACTGGGGACATGCCCGCAACCAAGGTACATGCCCTCAACCGGAATCGAACCCGGGACCCCTATGTCCGCAGAACGACGCTCCATCCACTGAGCCAAACCAGTTTCGGCTGGAATGGAATTTTTTAAGTTTGGCTTCTTTCACCCAACATCATGCCTCTGAGATTCACCCAAGTTGCCTGTGCCTATCAGCACTGCAGTTCTTTCTCCGCATGGACCTGCCACAGTCTGTTTCTCCGTCCACTCCCTGAAGGACATCTGGGCTGCTTCCAGGTTTTGACAGCCATTAGATCAGAGCTGCTATAAACATTCATGTGCAAATTTAGAATGAACCTAAGACTCCATCTCTCCCGGTGGATACCTTGGCGTGGGATTGCTGGGTCATGTGATAAGCGTGTCTTAAGACTTTCTCATTCTGGGTGCACGTGATGTCCTCGGGAGAGGCAGTAAGGGGAGCAAGGGCTTACCCCTTTCTGCACCACTGGCCCCTCAGCATTCAGTCATTGGCTGTGATCTGGGAGGAGGGAGGGCCTAACCTCCCAGGCTCCTGAGGCTGGAGGGAATTCCCTGGAGAAGAAGACAGCTGTGGGAGGAGTGCACCAGCCTGTTCAGGGGACCTAGGCAGGGTGCCAATGGTGCCCGCTATTAGGGACTTCACAGCGGGGCTGGGGTGGGGGGGAGAGATCTCCCCTCCCAGAAGCTCCCCACCTGAAAGAGGCTGCAACCCCACCTGCCACCATCTTCTCTCAGGCCCTCTGAGCAAGTGAAGGGAAGATGAGGCCAAAGTTATGGCTTCACCCCCTTCCTATCTCCCCCAACGTTACTCTCCTACCAGACGGGAAACCGATCTGACTCCAGAGCCCTGCAGACAGTCTCCGGGAGTGCCCTGGCATCTGCCCTTGGCAGAGTCCCCACGGCTGCCCTGGGAAGCAGCCCACCCAACCCCTTCCCTCCAACCCCCAGAGCTCAGTGTCAGAGCGATGGGGGCGCTCGCTGCATGCCTTCCCAGAGGCACCTCAGCTCGTGTCTTCTCAGGCCCTATTCCTCTGCCACAGGCGGGCAGACACTACCACTTAGCAACACCCACACGCCCACAAGCTTGCAGGGGAAAGCCTCACCGCAAACAGAAAGTGCTCTGTTCCCTGCTCAGCCCAGGAGGGAAGTCCAGAGGGGAAATCTGAGCTGAGATCTTGGCCAGGCTCCCGAGGGCGAAGGGATTCCCAGGGATGCCCAGATGGCCTTCGGGAGAAATGGGTGGAGGAGATTCCCACTTGACCATCAACATGCTGATGTGATCTTTGGCGCCCCTGCCCCCTCCAGCCTCCTGAAGCAGGCATGTAAGTGACCATCGTCCCCAGCTTGTTCACATGGAGGCCATGCTTCCCAACTGCTCCCAACCAATGACTCTGCGCAGGAGGACCAGGAAGACAGACCCCTTCCGGCAATTTAGGGACCCTCTGACAGGCAATCGTGGCCCCGGGACTCCCCACCCGCCTCACAGAAACTCGTAGAACCTCAGTCTGAGACTGCTCCTGCCCATCACTCCCCTGCTGCCTCCACTTCCCTCCTCATCTTCCCTCCCCCCAATAACTCTACCCCCATCTTGGTCTCGGCTTCTCCAAGGACCTGAACCAACGTGGAGAGTATACTATCATCTCCTTCTTGGCACCGTCAAAGGAGCAACCACTGTGTGAACCTCTAACTTAATGTGTGGAAAGTACTATCTTTATCCTAAAAAAAAAACAGATGAGGAAACTGAGGCACGGGGAGACTGAGTCACATGTCCAAGGTCACACAGCTAGCAAGTGGCAGAGCCAAATCCGAACTCAGTGGTGACAGGTGATCTGACTTTGGATGGTGGGTGCAATGCACAGATATTGTAGCACAGAAACCCACACCAGAGGACAACCTTTATGTTCGTGTTGACCAATGTCTCCCCAGTAAATTGAATTAATAAATAAATAAAAATCTGCTGAAACCGGTTTGGCTCAGTGGTAGAGCGTTGGTCTGTGGACTGAAAGGTCCTAGGTTCGACTCCGGTCAAGGGCATGTACATTGGTTGTGGGTACATCCCCAGTAGGGAGTGCCCTGGCAGTAGGGGGTGTGCAAGAGGCAGCTGGTCAATGTTTCTCTCTCATCGACGTTTCTAGCTCTCTATCTCTCTCTCCTCCTCTCTGTAAAAAATCAATAAAATATATTTTAAAAATAAATAAATAAATAAATAAATAAAAATCTGAGCTCGGACACTTTGGTTCCAAAGTCCATTCTCTTAACCACTACACCGAATCTGCTGTGTAGGAATAAAAAATAAAAAAAAAGAACAAAAGGAATAAATATATATATAAAGGGCTCCATTCAGGTGGCAATGAAATGGGGAGGCGTTTCTCCGCCTCTAATGACTTCACCTCTCTGAGCCTCAATTTCCTAATCTGAAAACTAGGGCCAGCAACACTGACTTCCTAGGACCTCCGAGGACCGTGACCAGCGTTAAATAAGATGTAAAATGGGCGGCACACGGCGGGAGCTCAATGAATGGTAGTTCTCCCCAGCAGGGAAAGGAAGCAGGAGAGTTTAACTTGGCTCTGAAGCTGGTAGGAATGAAGGCTCTGAAAGAGCTTCTGAGTCAAAGATGATCCTGAAGAAGAAAAAACAATCAGGGAAGCCCTCGCCGGTTTGGCTCAGTGGATAGTATAGGCCTGCTGTTCTGGGTTTCGATTCCGGCCAAGAGCATATGTCCACATTGTGGGCTCGATCCCCAGTAGGGGGGCATGCAGGAGGCAGATGATCAATGATTCTCATCATTGTTTCTCTCTCTCTCTCCCCCTCTCCCTTCCTTTCCTCCTGCACACCCCACACTGGGTATCGAGCCTGCAACAGGGGCATGTGTCCCTGACAGGAATCGAACCTGGGACCCTTCAGTCCACAGGCCGACACTCTATCCACTGAACCAAACCAGCTAGGCTGTCCCATAATTTTTTTTTTATTACTTGCTGTAAATGGCTTGGTGTCAATCTTTTCAGGGGACCCTTTGCTGAAGTCTTTGTGTAGGCTCACTGCTTTCAGGCACAACATGTTGCCATCAATCAGAACACATTTTCTGTTCATGTCTTCTACCCACAAATTGAATGCCCCTTTTCATCTTAATGAAGCACTTATCCCTTACAGCGGCTGTGTAACTTTTGCAGTTTGAAGTGACAGCAAAACTAGCACAGATTTCTTTTTCCCTTCTTCACAATTTCACAGATAGAAGATTCATTCTTGCCACAGATCTTAGCAACCTCAGCATATGATTTTTTTCTCTTTCCTTAGTAAGTGGAGAACTCTCACCTCACATAAAGGAAGCACTTCAAAAAAAAGAAAGAAAGAAAGAAAGAAAGCACTTCACAGCTACACCAGCCCGTCTGAATGGCCAGCACCACTACTCTTGCACTATGGGGCCATTATCAAGTCAAATAAGGGTTACCTGAACTTCGATACCTGACGGTGGATCTGATAACCAAGAAAGTTACTAAGTTACTAGCCAGTTGGTAGCATATACAGCGGGAATATGTGGGACAAAGGGGTGATTTATATCCCAGGCAGGAGGGAGTCTTAAGCCTTCATCCGTTCACTCAGAACTTCAGACAACTTAAAGCACGCATTGCTTATTTCTGGAATTTCCATTTACTATTTTCCCGATGGAAGACCTCACGTAAAAACAAAACCGCGGATCAAGAGGGGACTCGCTGTAACTGAGATTTGTGCACAGTGACCAGACCCCTATCGTGCACACTGAGGCGGGAAAAGCGACCTCAAAGCAAAATCGGCAGCGAAGACATCCAGCACCCCACCTGCCTGTGGGTGCCCCTATCTCCTCCCTCTTCCCGGCGTCCCCAAGTCTCCTACTCCCATTACAAGACCCGAGCAAAAGGGTGGCAGGACCTGCTGACCCCCACCCCCTGCAGCCAGGGGGTGCCCAGGGTGCCAGCAGAGCTCTTCGGAGACTCCCTGCCTCGGCCCTGCCCCTCGCAGAGATCTGGCCGCGAATTGGCGAGTGGAGGGGTGAGCTGTGCGAAGCAGAAACGCGTGGACCCACATACCTGCCTCCGCTGGGCGCTGGGCTCAGCCGGCTTTTAAGGGGGACTGCGTGTCCCTTCGCGGCGCATCCTGGGAAATGTAGTTTCCCCTCCCTTCCACCGGCCCAGGCTTGTCCTCTGAAAAAAAAACAAAAAAAAACAACCCTGCTCCCACCTATCGCAGGGCAAGCACGTTCCAAAAGGGCAATCAGGGATCAGGTCCAGGAAAAGGGTGAGGCGGGAAGGTGGCTCCGTGGGCCAACAAAACTACAACTCCCAGAGGAGCCAAGCGTCTTAAAGACATAGGCTCATTTTCTGGGACTCCGCCTTTTCAGGTTTGGGTTTGTTGTATGTTTAACCTTCTGGCCGGGACTTGCTTTTCTCTCCAGAAAATAAATCCTGGAGCAGGGCGGAGGACGGGAGCACCATAGGTGTTGCCTAAGATTGGTTAGCAGTGAGTGCTCTCTAGGCTTTCTGCACGTGGGTGCAAACGGAAGACACTTTCCAGCTCTGCAGTGGAAAAAGAGGGTCTGCAGAGTTCTGAATGGCAGCCTTGTTTGTAATCGCAGAAAATGGGAAACACTCTCCCTTTGGGGTCCTGGAGAAACAAAGGCATATCCATGCAATGTAATACTGTGCCGCCTTTAGAACCAGGCAGAACTTTATGTACAATAGGAAACGTGCCCACGACATTTTGTGGAGGGACAAGAAGCAAGGTGTTGCTGCCCTGACCGGTTTGGCTTAATGGATAGAGTGTTGGGCCTGCGGACTCGAGGGTCCCAGGTTCAATTTCAGTCAAGGGCATGTACCTTGGTTGTGGGCACATCCCCAGTGGGGGATGTGCAGGAGACAGCTGATTGATGTTTCTCTCTCATCGATGTTTCTAACTCTCTCTCCCTCTCACTTCCTCTCTGTAAAAGCATCAATAAAATATATATTTTTTAAAAGAAGAAGAGGAAGAAGCAGCAGCAAGTTGTTCGAACCCTATGTACGCGGGAAGCCACTTATGTCAAAAATAATGTGTCTGGACACATGGTATGTGTGGGAACTGGCCTGGAAGGGAACACACCCTGGGGCAGAGAATGCCAGGAATGGGGAGAAGCAAGGAGAACTTAGGCCTTATCTGTATTTCTGGAATTTTTCTTACGGAAGGCACTTTCCAAACCTACTGTCATTAATAGGGAGCCAGGGAGGCCCTGCCTTCAGTCTCAAAGGAGATGGGGAACCCTACTCTAACTGTGTAACCTCTGCCAGTCACTTGGTTGCTCTGCGTCTCCTTGTCATCTGTAAAAATGGGTCAATAATAGGATCGAATGCTGAGATGGTTGTATAGTAAATGCTCAAAAAAGTACTAACCATTTGACAAGAGAAAAACTCTGAGATGTCCTGACTTATGGCAGGCTAGAGGGTGGGAGGAAGGGGAAGAGATGAACCAGTTAACAGAACCACAGGCCAAAACCAACAACAAAAGACTACAATTGAGAGCTACCTAAAGAAAAAAATAGCAAACTGCTAGAGCCACCTCATCCTGATTATGCATATGAGCTTTCTGGCTTGTGGCCCACAACCAATCCAGAAGTTGGAAATATTTCTTCCTTATCGACTATGCCCCTATCCTGGAATGGCCAGTGTAAGTTCTTTCAAAACAACTTACATCTTTCTTCCCCAAAACCATCGTATGAAGGATCCGGGACTGGGCCCTAACCGGTTTGGCTCAGTGGATAGAGCGTCGGCCTGCGGACTGAAGGGTCCCAGGTTCGAATCCCGCAAGGACACATGCCTGGGTTGCGGGCTCAACCCCCAGTGGGGGGCATGCAAGAGGCAGCCAATCAATGATTCTCTCTCATCATTGATGTTTCTGCCTCTTTCTCCCACTCCTGTCTTCTCTGAAATCAATAAAAATGTTAAAAAAAAAAAAAAAAGGATCAGGGACTGGGCCCATGTTCTCCATCTAGCCCTGCTAATCGTGACTTAGATTGTGTATGTCCCAGGACATGGTCCTTTTTCTGGGTAGCATATGGCTCAATAAACCCTTTCTTTCAGAAAAGCTTGAGGCTACAAGGTTTTTTTGTTTGTTTGTTTAACATATCATTATGGCCGAAGCCGGTTTGGCTCAGCGGTAGAGCGTCAGTCTGCGGACTGAGGGGTCCCAGGTTCGATTCCTGTCAAGGGCGTGTGCATTGGTTGCGGGCACATCCCTGGTGGGGGGGGTGCAAGAGGCAGCTGGTCAATGTTTCTCTCTCATCGACGTTTCTAGCTCTCTATCTCTCTCTCCCTTCCTCTCTGTAAAAAAAAAAAATGAATAAAATATATTTATATATATATATATATATATATATATATGGTATATATATATATATATATCATTATGATTATGCTGCCCCATTACGTGGCAGGGTCTTTGGTTTGTCCACTAGAACAGTGCCTCGAAAAATGGTAGGTGGTTAAAAGAGTTTGTTGACTGAATAAGCAGTCCCCTGCCAGCTTCCACTACCCATCTCCTCCCCCTAAATTTTTCTCCCCTCAGTCTTCTCACGTGGCCCAGGTCTCGCCCTCCTTCCCACACTTCAGTGCCTGTGCTTTCTTTTGTGAACCCGGGAGGCCTCCAGGGGAGTGATGAGCTAGCTGCCTCCCACTGCCGCTGTTCTCATCAGTGCAGATCCCTCTCTGCAGCGGAGCGGGGGGCAGGGATGCCTGCAGCTACAGCTTTTGCGGGGAGAGGGGGTCCAAGGAAAACAGTGTGCCTCCCAGGAGCTCAGAAGCCAAGGGCTTTACCCCAGCTCCTAGGGCCCGCATGCTGGAGGGGTAAGGAGTGACTCCACTTTCCAGACTGAGAGGCAATGATGCTTTAGGGTTTTGGGTAACATGAAGCCCTCAGTGCAATCTGTCAGCAGCAGACACAAAAATGCCAAGCTCTCAGCTCTGGTGTAGCCCCGTCTGGGGTAGGGAAGACAGAACCATAAAAAAAAAAAAAAAAAAAAAAAAAAAAAAAAAAGTTCTGATGTTATCATATAAAGTAGAATCCAGTGGTTAAATACAAGGATTTGAAATCTGACAAATCCTCCCCAGTTCCCATCGTTTTCTTACTGTGTGAGCAAGCCATGGCACCTCTTGGAGCCTCAGTTTCCTCATCTCTAAGAATACAGTTTCCTCATCTGTATTTATCTAATCGGATTTTTGGAAGGATTCAAGGAGCTAATGCACCTAAAGAGGTAAGCACAGCCGAAACCGGTTTGGCTCAGTGGATAGAGTGTCGGTCTGCGGACTGAAGGGTCCCGGGTTCGATTCCACTCAAGGGCATGTACCCTGGTTGCAGGCACATCCCCAGTAGGGTGTGTGCAGGAGGCAGCTGATCGATGTTTCTCTCTCATCAATGTTTCTAACTATCCCTCTCTCTTCCTCTCTGTAAAAAATCAATAAGAAATATATTAAAAAAAAAAAAAAAAAAGGGTAAGCACAGTCCTACCTGGTTTTGCTCAGTGGATAGAGCATCGACCTGCAGACTGAAGGGTCCCAGGTTCAATTCCAATTAAGGGCGCATGCCTGGGTTGCAGGCTCGATCCCCAGAGTGGGCCATGCAGGAGGCAGCCCATCCATGATTCTCTCTCATCATTGATGTTTCTATCTCTCCCTTTCCCTTCCTCTCTGAAATGAATAAAATATTGATACATATATTTTTAAAAAGAGGTTAGCGCAGGGCTTGGCCAGAGCATGTGTCCAATTTCCTTCTTATTAAATAAACATGCTGCCAGTGAGGGAGGGTCCGGGAAGGGTCTTGGCGGAGGGCCCATCTGCAGGGCCCTGAATGAGGTGTGTGGCCGCTGCTGGAGGGAGGAAACCCCCTTGGGAGCCAGCACTGCCCACAGGAATATCTTAGGTCGGGCTCCTTAGAGACAGAGCCTGAGACAGGGATTCCAGTGCCAATGACTTATTAAGACAGAGGGAAGCAGGATAGGGGAAGAAGCCAAAGGATGTGGCTTCACCTAAGTCTTGCCTCGGTCTGATCCTACAGTGAACTCTGGAGCAGGAAATGCACCACAAGGTTCATCCCTCACAGAGGCTTTGTACCCCTCCCTCTTCAGTCCTTCCTGGGCTGTAGGCCACTAGGAGTGGGGGAAGGGAGGAGCATGATTTCCCAGGGATTTCTGGGAGGAACATGGGCTCCATGGACTGAGCACTGATCGGAGAAGGGTGAAGCTGTGAGCCAAGAGCCGCCAACACAACAGTGGGAGAATGGAAAGCGATGTCACCAACAGCATTTACTGCAGGAGGACTGGTGAGAGAGAGGAACTGGGTGAAGAAAATGGAAGAGGATATTACATGTTCCTCTTGCATTTTCCAAGGAGAAAATGAAACAGAAGGCATGTTTTTAAGCACAACCCTAGCTGGTTTGGTTCCGTGGATAGAGTGCCGGCCTGTGGACTGAAAGGTCCTGGGTTCAATTCTGGTCAAGGACATGTACCTCGGTTGCAGGCTCCATCCTGGCCCTGATCGGGGCGCATGCGGGAGGCAGCCAATCGATGTGTCTCTCTCACATAGATGTTTCTCTCTCTCTGTCTCTCCTCCTCCCTTCCACTCTCTCTAAAAATCAATGGAAAAATATCCTCGGGTGAGGATTAACAACAACAAAAATAATAAAACAAATTTTTTTTAAATTAAAGCACAGACTTGAAAAAATAACCAAATAGTGAACGTGTTCCAGAGAGTATTAAATGGACTTTATTATTTTTTTTTTTAAATATTGATTTCAGAGAGGAAAGGAGAGGGAGAGAGAGATGGAAACATCAACAATAAAAGAGAATCATTGATCAGCTGCTTCCTGCATGCCCCACACTGGGGATCAAGCCTGCATGTGCCTTGAGCGAGAATCAAACCATGACCTTTTGGTTCATAGGTCAACACTCAACAACTGAGCCACATCAACTGGGCTACATCATTTTTAATCTTTGCTCTTACAATGGTGGGACAACTGTTTCTATATGTAACCAAGAACATGTGCAAATAGGATACTTTCTAAATTATATTTTTTTATTGATGTTTTACAAAGAGAAAGAGTGAAGGATAGAGAGTTAGAAACATCGATGAGAGAGAAACATCATTCAGCTGCTTCCTGCACATCCTCTGCTGGGGATGTGCCCGCAATCAAAGTACATGCCCTTGACCAGAATCGAACCTGGGACCCTTCAGTCCAAAGGCTGACACTCTATCCAATACTTTCTTTTATAAGTA